AGCTGAAATATAACAGGTCCATTTTTTTTATTGACGAAAAACAAAACCGACTTCAAATATCTCACCGTGTATTCATTTTATAATTGATTTTCAGGAGTTCCCTACGTATCACCGGAGCCCAAGATCCAATACCAATGAAATTAATATGGGACCACATGGGAAGCACCAGCTTTCAAATAAAAAAATAATCATCCAAATCGGTTCACTCGGTCGAAAGTTCTGAGGTAACAAACATTAAAAAGAAATACAGTCGAATCGAGAACCTTCTCCTTTTTTGAAGTCGGTTGAATATGTAAAAGATAATTTTAAAACTAATAATTAAATTTTTTTTTGTTAATTACAAAGAATTTTTTGTATGAAAGTCATCACTCGTCGGTCTCATTTTAAACCTAAAAGCTTCACCTCATCACCCAAAAGCTCACTTTAATTTATTATAGTCAAATAATAAACATGAGCAACAGATATTTAACGATAATATTTTGAACAAATTGTGCATCCAGTGAAGTTTTCCGTGTATTAACCTTTTTTAAAAAACAATATTATCAATTTACACACGCTATTCAACTAATGAAAACAAAGATAAGCAATGAACACAAACATATCATAATAACATAACATTTGCTATGAGAACACACGGCAACTAGACGTTCATATAATCTAATCAAAAGTGATATATGAGTTTATTACGACGTATTTAATAATTACGAAAGTTTGGCTATTAATGCACCGTGAATATTAGTAGCTTTAAAGCTTTAACGTTAGCCATTGGCATTTATGTTACTACTTCAGTAGTTAAAATCAAATCAATACCATAGCCTATTCTGAGGATGATGTAAATAAATGCACAAATAATTAAAGTGCTGTAACATAGAAAGCTATATTGACGACCTGATTGACCCAATCACTGAGCCAGAGGGTGTGGATTCAATGCCCGCTACTGAAAAAATTTGTATGATGATTATAGTATTTTTTCATTGTCTAGTTGTTTAAAAAATTAGTGTTATAATATGTATTTTGTTTACAAAAGAAAAGTATGTTTATCAGTTCCCTAGTACCCATAGTATAAGCGTTGCTTATTTATGGGACTAGAAAACGTTTTGTAAAAATGTGTCCTGAAATATTTATCATGTATTATTATTTTTCTAATTTCATGAATTTATTCCTTACGGCATACACCGTGCAAAAGGCATCTTAATCAGGGGCCGAAGCCAAGTACTAAACTATGCCATTGTTTACTAAATTGGGGGAGTGATTCCTGTCTGTCTGTGTGTAAAAATTAAATTTGTTATTATTATTATATGTAAAGAATGTGTCAATGGAATTTCCTCAACAACGTTAGCTGTCGTACACTAAGACGGAGGGCGGGCGGGACATAGTGCCCCTGTTTACATCACTTCCCGTCCTCATTTCCTCCCCCCCCTGACGTCCTCCTGACTGCCAGTGGCAGCACAATGGCCACACGAAAGTGCTCTACTCATCACGCCCCGCGTAAAAGCTACAGCGTGTCGGCGCACCTCGGGATTTTCCCTGAAATCACCATTAGAAATTTCGCCACACATTTCCCGGAAAGTTGCCAATTTGCCGGGGCTTTTGTATTACAATATTCGTGACAGATGTAAAAATAATAGTTTATCGTAAATAACATGTATAATGAGGAATAATGCATATAATCGAAGAGTTGAAACAAACTATCAGAACAAAATTTGAAACACTAGATCAAAAGTTTTGATCCGCGATTTTCAGGAGAGACGGGAACGGATTCTGTTCAAAATGTTTAATGAATATTTAGATGAAACAAATAATTTCCCTATTTCTATAGTCATGGATTACTATTTTAAATTCATTAATTTAAATTTCTGTTAAAAGTTAGATTGGGCCTTAATTGGGCCATCTAGCGGCAACCGGGGACAACTGTATCATTTTTAAGAAACTGAATTTAAACGAAACTCTACCCGTAAATTAGGTTTCCAGACCAAATTTCACATCCGCTAACACGAGCACGGAATAAACGTAAGAAGAAATTTCGCAAAACAAAATAATCTTTACTGTACGCCTTATCTCGTAATACCATATACATTTAAGATAATTATGAAGGAATATGTGTGCAAGGCTTAGTGATTTAGAAGAATTTTTGTTGTTTAGGATTTTGATTTGGTTGTTCAGACAACTCAGTTTTCCGTGTATTAAATTCTTGCTCGTAATATGGAGACCTCATGACTTGTCTAATAGTTTGAGCTACGATAACGATGATGTGAGATAAATATTTATTATTAGGTAAATAAAAGTCTCTAACATTGACTATTTAAATTTGTCCCGTTGCGGATTAAACATTAAGGCCCGTTAAATCAAAATCCTCCTGCCTGACGTAGGGGTCGGGACAACATGTGAATGATATTGCAAGCGGTTTTGGCTATGTTTTTTTACGACAGGCCGCCAGCCTAACGTCATCTCACCTTGGGAAACAAACACCCCGATCCGGAATAATTATTTGTGGGTCACAAAAATACTTGTCCCGTGTAGGAATCGAACCCTCGACCCCCGACATCGAAGCCAATAGCTTAGAAGCGGCGCCATCCTGTTATCTTTTATTATATGGCCCGTTAAACAATGTAAAAATGTATTTAATTTCTTTTATGAATAATTAATGCTTTTCTTAGAACTAGACTACTAACTTGAACTAACTAGAGATTCGCAACAACTTGGAAAGCCTGTAAACGCGCAGCACATATAAATACCTCCTACTCCATATTGAACGGCAAGTATCCTGGTATACCTTCAAAATAGTATCAAATTAATCAATAATTTCGCTTTTACAAAGATTTTTGAAGAATTGCGTCGCAGGATAAGTCTAAAACCCTGATATTGAACAAAGCGAAGTAACGAGCGTTCTGGTATAAACGGATAGATAAAACATAAGGGGGAACATAATAATCTATGTGCAAACACGCTTCTATTTATTAATCCACCGCGAGCGATTCGAGCCGATATATCATTCGGGGTCAACGCACTTAACGCCCCTTGGACAAAGATGTGATCAGTTTTACGACTCGTTTACATTAATTTATGACAGTACGTGCCCACGCCCTTTTCAGCTAATTCCGGCACAGTCTCGGGATGTGAGGAAATTTAATGTTTTCTCCAAATATCGTTCCGAAAATTCACCCCTGTATCTTCTAGTTGTGGTTTAATAAATTATACAATAATAAAATTGCGTAAGCGTGTTTGTTAGTTTGTCCTCATTTCATGCAGCAACTCAACAATGATTTTATTTTCATGTGGGTTTAATAAATAAATTGTCGGAAAATTTCTAGGGCATTAATTTGATAGGGTACTGAAACTTACGGCTTTTGCTTTACAGGCATCCTCTCGTTCGAAAATTCATTATAACCATGGCGTTTGAATGTATTGGCACGGTGTAAAGTATCGTACAAGTTGGCGCTAAGCATTCCTAAAAATTCAAAAAATAACAGAAATATGTTGAGATTTTTCACTGTGACGATATCGAACGCCTTGTGTATTTGACTGAAGCCTGTAGTCACGTTACCTGGACGTCGCAGGCCACCCAGGCAGCTTCGAAATTTTCGCAAATTGTTTTACGAAGTGGAATTAAATACTTAGAAACTTCTTAATTAGATCACAAGTAATCACGAAACATCAAGTCAGCACTATAGCATATTTATAATTCTCTTTGTCTTTCCTTTGATACTCTTTTAAATTTACATTTAACTTCTGTCCATTCGATAACATCTGTTCCGATACTCGCTTGTAAATTCCTAAAGGTCTTAGCCAGATTTCTTAGTGATGACTCCGTGGTGCTGTCGCTAAGGTATTGGCTTCGGTGTCGGGGGTCGTGGGTTTGAATCCCACACGGGACAACTATTTATGCGACCCACAGATAGTTGTTTGGCATCTGGGTGTTTGTCCATGTGAAATTTAGGTATATAAAACGTCTTTATAACACAGGATAATGTTATCCTAAAGTAAGGTCAATGTTTTAAGAAAAATTTTTTTTCGTTTTTCCACCAAAACCAATTCTACAAACATAGTTGTCACAACAACCGATGCGTCGGCAAATATCAGATTGGATTTCGTGTACGGATTGTAATATGGCTTCGGCTTATGCGACGGTACGCCGATGTAACGTCAAACGTTAAATTTAATCAGCGGTTTGTTAATTACATTACACGTCAATGATCGAAACAAAAGGTATACACATGCTTCATAGCAATGCCATGGGTATGGCTTCCCAGAATAATTATGTTCAACTTCAATTATTTCGGAACATACGAGTATCTATGCCAATAACAAAAATGACATGTCTGTCTGTGATTTCAATATGCTAGAATTTAAATGCAATATGTTTTGATCGTTGCTTAGTAACAAATAGACATTTAGCTTTATTTTCTGTTTTTTTCTCTGGACTTTGCCTCGAACAGGCTCACCAAATGTCTCAACTACTTTATTTTTTTTATTTCATGGTACACACCCAGAGGGACCTGTCTATTCGTTACAACAACGAACTGTTGCATGGCCCTATCACTGCGAATTTGAGCCATCATTCTTGTTATTGGTATAGATATGTACCAAATTTCTGGATTAGTACCAAATAATCTCAACTTTACTATCCCAACACTTTTTTACTGTAATAGCACGGTGTAGACGAGATATGTAACGCCATCAAGGTATCATCAAACTTTTTCATTAATTTAAAAACTGTTACAGGTGATGATAATAAAAAATAAATATTTCGAAAATATTTTAGCTACTGCCCCTGTACAGAGAAGGCCTTTGCCCAGTAGTGGGACATATATACTTCACTACTCTTCTCGTGTACACAGCTTATATGATAGTATCTATCTATAATAATAGGAAATTATTTATTCTTAAAAAAATATCTGTTTAGCAGAACTGTCGCGAATGACGACACGGGGGGAGGCTAGTTACGTAATAAGCAGCAGTCGTCGAATTCCGCGATAGGGGGATGTGACGTCAACCGCGGAATGGCGCCCGCGACCCAGGACTCCGCTAATTGTTATTATTGTTTGGCAACTGGCGTCGGTATTCCAGGATCGCGGTGCGCGAATCGCCACACACGCGAGTTATGTGACGCCGGGAATGTCGGCTATGCGGCACCGGCCCTGATTACGTTGTTCGGATTGCCCGATTGTCTCCGTCGCGACGACGGCCCAGCGGATGAGAAGCGGGTAGCTGCGGGTTCGAAACCGGCGTGAGGTAGCTGCATGATGGTAATTGTGACTGTTACCTAAAAACTTCAATGCTTTTGTTTATGTGGAAAGTTGGAAAATGAGCAGTTCACCCGATGGTACTTACCAGCTGTTGCATGGCCCTACCACTATTAAAATATTGGAACAATTATGGTGGCGATTGGATCAACGGATGTTTTTGAATGATTAGTTTAGATGAGTGCCATCGAAGCCTATTAGGGATTATGCATAAGTGTTTAATTAAAATAATATAATAAATAATTTAGGACACATTTTTTTAAACAATGTTCTCTAGTCCCAAACTAAGCAACGCTTGTACTATGGGTACTAGATAACTGATAAACATACTTAAACATACTTTTCTTTTGCAAATAAATATATATACATATTATACAACACCCAGACACTAGAAAAACACTATGTTCATCACACAATATTTTTCCAGTAGTGGGGATCGACCTACACCCTCTGGCGCAGGAGTCAGGTATCCACTACGCCATTAGGGTCGAATCAAATGTATTTTATAATAACAATAGTTGTACTAAGTAGGCTATTTGGTTGCAGGGAAATTGAAATTTGTTTGATTAACCAATTAAGCTCTCAGCATCGAATTGAAGAAACAATGTAACAAAGCCGGTTTTGACAATACTAGCGTGTGTTTACAGCAAAGAATAGTCAAATTACGAGTTTTGTCTTTTTTATATAATATATCTATGTATAACTTATGTTAACCATGTAAAACTGAAAAACAGTATACATTATTTCAAAACACTCCAAAAATTTTCATCGTGTTAATTAAGCCATATTGCCATTGAAATCCGTCGCACAAACAGATCCTGGACTTGTATACCAATCCGTCGGGAATATGGGATATTGATTGGAGTTATCCCGCTGTTTTCAAGACTTTATTACGCGCCCCATAGTCCGTCCGTCCATTGTCTTCCCCTACGCTGTGGTGCCGCATCGATGATTGACTTTCTGTTTTTGTTTTGCATCCTTTTGTCGGCTATCGCTAAAGGCTTCATCACACTATATTGCCTAGAAAGTGACGACCTATACGGTTTTATTTTCGAAGAGAAAACGGTGGAAGAGCGCTGTTAACCTGATTGTAAGTGATCACTGCTACTTTGACAAACCTGGCCACTTCGCCTATGCGGACTCCATTTGTGTTTCACCTTCCCTGCTGTACCTTATTTTGACCAGTCTCCACTATTAGGACAGCTAGCAGGTTTCTGTTGATGTCTTCTTTGGCTCGTCTAACCAATGTCTGGTCCAGAGTATATTGCCCAGTACGCGCCCAACGAATGTCCGTTCAGCTAGTTTCTGTCGTGTGTGAGCTACAGTTGAGAAGATTGGGATTCGATGCAGTCTTTCCTTGGCAAGTCCCTGGGGCAAGGTTTGTTTCTCACTGATGATATGGTTGACACTCTCATCGATATGGTACGATAAGGAATGGAACATGTAATTCCATTCTCCACGGTCCAAATTGGTGGCACCATTCAGTCTTGGTTACATCACTTCTGCCAAGCGGTATCTCGTAAACAGGACGTTCGTTGCGGTGGCTTCTAGGGATGTAAATACCAGTTACTTAAAAAAGAAGCACTGCGGGTTGGCGGACTTCACATATCTTCGAAATATATATTTTTTGTTATTATTTCGAAAATATGCAGGTTTCCTCACGATGTTTTCCTTCACCGCGGAGCACGTGATAAGTCAGCACTTAAAGTTAAAAACTTCATTGGTGCCGGCACCGGGGATCGAACTCAGGTTGCTCGAGTATATTGAATTAAAGGCATGACACTGAGCTATCACGGCTCTCAGCTATCACGGCAGTGTGTCGAAACCTTAATGATGGATTTTTGTTTCACGCGGGGATCCTTTTCATCGGTTAGGAGACGGGGAGTCGTTAATAAGCATTTAATCCGCCTACGGAGCCTGTAATATGTCCGGGGAAGCTGTTCCGAGGGATTGGCTAATGGAAGGTATGTCAACAGACCGCGACGTAGTCCCGAACGATGTTCTGATGCATTTTTCACGATATAACGAATATTTAGGATAAATAAAAAAAAATGTATAGGACACATTTTTACACAATGCTCCCCAAACCAAGCAACACTTGTACTACGGGTGCTAGATAACTGATAAACGTACTTAAACATTTCTTTTGCAAGTAAATACATATTGTATCACACTGATATAATACTATGTTCATCGCGCAATGTTTTTCCCGTAGTCGGGATTGAACCCACACCTTCTGGCGCATGAGGCAGGTTTACTATCCACTACGCCAATTGGGTTGTAATAATATTGCATGTCGTTTAATGTTCGGTCGCTGACAGTACCATTTTTGAACAGGAATTACAAATTAATTTAAAACAGCCTGTCACTTCTTTCGACCCTAATAGGAAAAACGGCGATAGTTGACGCTGTATACTGTAATTTATAAGTTTTTCTTAGTCCCAAATATCAAAAGTGGTGAGTTCATCGCCGTAACTGCCAATACACTAATATATAAACGTACGTTATAGCTGTGGATGAATTAATTTTTCCAAATCATCTAAACTCACGTATTTATATAAGCTACTTCTTCCAATTTACCCAAAAATCGGCCAGTCCTTTACTACTATTTCGCCTGATGGTAAGTAAACATGTCATCTTAGATGGTATAAATCATTTCATGTTGGTTTATAATGATTTGCAGACGAGACAACAGAGTAAAATAGAATCGTGGCCCTGATAGTAACCAACTTGCTACGGCCGAAGAAAAGTCGAGCTGTGCAACAATAAAAATGGCTAATATTAAGAGACTTTAATCGTCTCTCAACAGCTCCGCTAGATGGAGTGAGCAGATATGACGAGTTATTTCAGAAAGTCCAGTGAAATATATCTAGCATTGTATACGGCACATGGCTTACGTTAACAACCCTCTAATGTCACAAAGTCTCAAAGTGTTTAACATTAGCATTGCTTGCTCTAAAAATAAGCACTTAAGAATTTATTTGACGGTTATACACTCTGTACAGAGGACGTCATCGCTCAGCAGTGGGACATGTATAGGCTGTTACTTTACTTTTTCATACCTTCTGTGTTTTTTTTAATCATGTTTAATAAACAACGTAGTATATAGTTATGTATACCGAGACCCCCACGAATGCCCGCGTCAGCGAGATATTCTAAAACATTGTAATTACATTGTAACAATCGTCGTTTGACTTAGCGTAACGGATATTGATAACATTCTTGAGGGTCTAGTTACGAGATAGGATAATGTTTCACTAGCATAGAAAGAATAGCATTGTAATTTAGTCTTAAGCCAACTCTGGTAGCGAGCATACGAACTTTTGTTAGTACCAATATAGGTCTAATTAAAATAAAGTCGTATTTTTAAAAGGCCTTCCGGCTCCCACAACACTTGACTGGCGCAGCCGGTAGGATTCTCGCGTCGCACTTTTTCTAAAAATCAGAAAATTCGACGAGCGTTTTCTAACGTCTTCATACGAGAATCCTCGAACTAAACAAATTCGTCAAGAAGAACGGCAGGCCAAGGCAGAGCTCCAGATTAATACTCACCAGGAGGGACATGGACAGTATGTGAGTAGACTCTATCGCTATTCCATCTGATTTTATCCAATCCTATTCCATCTTAATTATAAGTGTCTAGAGATACGTAGTGTATTTTCAAAAAATCGATTTTCACTATATATTTCTTTGAATTAGAAAATAAGTATATAAAGTAGAAGTAATTAAATCTTTTTAAATGAAATAAATAAATGAATAAATATTATATAATAAATTAAAGTATAAATATTCAATATCGAATTGAATTAAAATTTTATATTATATTCAAATACAAATAAATAAAATAAATAGAAATGGCAAAGATTACGCAGATACCCAAAGAACTTTCAGGAATCATCCCCAAATTCGACGGTGATGAAAGTTTATTAAATCTTTTCATTAGAAAATGTGAATACGTTATTAAACTATGCAGAGATATAGGCAACTTAGAACAAGACCTTTACATATTCCAAGTCATCACATCTAAACTAACGGGCAAAGCAGCGACATTAATAAGTGAAAGACCGGACATTGAAACATGGAATGAACTCAAGTTAGCCTTCGAACAACATTTCGGTGATCCACGTTCCGAAGAATGCATCGCGATTGAGTTAGAAACTTTAAAAATCAACAATGGCGAATCATATCTTGATTTTTGTAATAGAATCCAACATATCAAAAGTACACTATTCGCGAAAGTAAACCGAATTAGTGATATAAATCTCCGTAATAGTAAAATTACCATTTACGATCACATGTCGATGAACGTGTTTCTCTACAATTTACCCGAAGACTTATTACGTATAGTCCGACTAAAAGGATGTAATTCACTCGAAAATGCATTAAGTATAGTCTTAGAAGAAGTTAATTTCTTATACCAGTATCAAACCAGAAACAAAATGCTTCGATTATCCAATAACGCGCAACAAAAGCCGCAACCAAGCACACAAAATCCTTTCATAGATAGAAATATAATGAAACCTTTCTTTTCTCAAAATGCACAACAAAATAATTTCAAATTTGGAATACCACAACAAGGTATCTCACAAACGAGACCCATCTACCAGGCACAACATTCAAATCAATTACAGCCTAATTTAAATTCGGTATTCCTCAGGGAATAAATAACACAAAACCACAAATACAACCTAAGTTTAAATTCGGAATTTACTCCAAGCAAACAATTTAGATTACCTCAGCAATTTGGATATAAACCTAATTTAAATACACAACCTATTGGTTATAGACCGCCACCTCATTTACTAAGACCACAATTACAACCCAAGACACAAACAACGGACGTTAGCATGCGTACCGCACCCCCCTATAAAGCCTCAAGGTTTTCGTATGAACCAATTATATAACATTAATGAAGAAAATAACATTCCGTATGATGAAAATGAATATTACTTTGACGAATATAACAAATATGGCCAATCAGAACA